GCGCATGGCTATGGTTGCAGAATGTTCTTGCTTTGGTTGTCTGACGGGCACCGCCTCAACGCTCTCCCAATGGTCGGGAGTTTGAGAGAGAAAATGGTCGTGTTATCAATTTTGGTTGGTTGTCAGGCCTGCTGCCGCAGCGGAATTCTTTTAGTGGTGTGGGCCTGGGGCTTAGCGCATTTTCGATGCCTCGTTCCCTGCCCGGTTCGCAGTTCAACCTTGCAAGTTGCCTTCACCACCAAGCAGCTCAAGCAAATAATTTCCCGACTGCCCGCTCAAGTGGGCTGGGCTAGGCTGGAGTTGTTACGCATTTTGTTGGTATGGACCAGTTTCATCAAGATCCGCATCTTTCCATCTTCACCATCCGAGTCCTCCTCATCTCATCCTGGACGGACTCTCCGCCAACCCTCCCTCTTGCCCTCCCTTCTTCCCTCCCTCTTTCCCTTCCTCTTTCCCTCCCTCTTATCCCTCCCTCTTTCCCGAAAATGGCGATTTGGTCGTGGATCAAAACAAACCCTATCCACGAGGCCATCACCTTGGGCGATACCGCCAACCTTGACAGGCTCCTCGCCAACAGACGTGTCAATGTGAACGCGGAGAACGCAGACGGCGCAACCGCCTTGCACCTGGCCGCGTCTCGTGGCGGCCTTGGGACAGTGCTGGAAAAACTGCTGACCTACCCCGACATCAACCTCAATCTCCAAGAACGCAGTGGGAAGACCCCCTTGCATCTTGCCATCTGTTTCGGGACCTTATATGTGATTAAACGTCTCCTCGCGGATCCCCGCACAGACGTCAACCTAACAGACCAAGACGGTCGTTCGCCATTACACTACGCCGTTGACTTCAACCCAACCCACGACGGGCGTATTCTAGCTCTTCTCGTAGCCTGCCCCAGAGTCAACCACAAAGCACAAGACCGACTTCAGCGGACCGCGCTAGCGTGGGCCCTAAACTATGGTTACCCAGAGGTGGTGGCCGCTCTCGCCTCAGGCCGTGAGCCATTGCCAGAGGTTACCGTGACAGACTTGGATGGCGACACGGCAATCCACAAAGCCGCCAAGTACGGTGGCTCGATGCTGGCTTGTCTGGTGAAAGGACAGGGCAAGGAGGTTCTAGATGTCAGGAATATCAGGTCGGAAACCGCCCTCCACGTCGCTGCGAGATACAACTCAGATTCCCTGGGATTACTCGCCCATGCCGGCGCCAGCCTTGACGCGCGGCGGGGCCCGGATGGTGCGACCCCTTTCCACATTGCCGCCCTGCACGGCTCCTGCGAGTTTGTGGATCGCTTGCGGTCACTTGATCCGTCCCTACGCAGCATCATATTCATGAAGGATAATGACGGCAACACGCCTTTACATCTAGCCGCTGAGCGCGGCGACTCTAAAATGGTGGATACCATTCTGAACTTGGTCAAGGACCCGGGCCAACAGACTGGCGAGCCCACCATCCAACCTGACCCTGTCGAGGTTGGTTGTGTGAACAACAAGGGCGAGTCGGCCGTTGCCCTTGCCGCGCGTCACGGCCATGTCGACACCGTGGTATCCTTGTTGCGAGACGAACATATCGGGTCTGGCGAGGTCAGATCCAGACACGCGGAGGCCGTTTTGCAAATCCTACCCCATATCACCAATGGTCCAGCTTCCGGGGTGCCACAGCTAGAGAGGACGGCCGTGTTATTCGAGTGGGCGGTACGGGAAGGTGTACTCGACGTTGTCAAGCCCCTCAAGCCCTACGCCAGCCCTTCGGCGCTTGAACACTCCATTTCACTCGCCGCAGCAGGGGGGCACGCCCACGTAGTTCAGTATCTTGCCGAAGAAGGGGTCAGCCCTAACGTCTGGACGGAAGCGGAAGGAACGCCGCTTACCGTCGCTATTGAGCACGGACATACCGAAGTCGTCAAGGTCCTGCTCAGCCTCGAGGGAGTAGATCCGAACCTCGGCGTGCCCAGCTCCGACACACCCTTGATGAAGGCCATACGGCGCCGTTCTAGAGCGGTTGTTTCGCTGCTTCTGAGTGAGGAAGTTATCAAGACCAAGGGATTGTTGCTCGACGAAGGAAGCCACAAAAATCAGCTATCAGGCCGCTGGTTTTCTAACCCACTGCTTTTAGCCTCTCAACTCGGCTACGAGGATATGGTCGAGATGCTCGTCCAACCCGGTCTTGCGGCTGAAGCCTGCTTAACTGTTCAGGATCAAGCCTTTGGCCAAACACCCTTGAACGCCGCCTGCTGGCGGGGCCACTGGCGCGTGGTCGAGGTGCTCTTCCAGGCTTGCCCTTGGGCTTCTGGGCCTGATGTGCTCGGGGTCGATCAGCGGGATGATTCGGGCCGCACGCCGTTTGCCAATGCCTGCGCATCATCCAGTCCCGACACGGCCAATCTTTTTCTCAAGAGTGACCTGATCAGGCGCAAGCTAGTCGATCCCGATTCGAAAGACAACGATGGCATGACGCCGTTTGCTCACACTTGCGAAAAGGGTTCTGTCGAGGCCTTGAAACTCATCTTCGACAGCGACTTGATCAAGGACAGGCTGATTGACCCCAACGCCAGAAATAACCATCTTGAAACCCCGCTGGCTATTGCATGTTCATGTGGGCACCATGAGGTAGTCGGCCTCTTTTTGGATTATTTCCTCTCCGGCGACGGGTCAGGTCTCGTTGATTTTAGCCCTCCCGTGGACCAAGAAGCGAGAACCCTCCTCGAGCTTGCGTTCGACCCTTACGATTGGCCGTCCATGGTATTGGTGCTGTTGGAGAGCCGCCTCGTCGACTTGGGCTTGGTCGACCCTAGAAAGGCTTACCGATATATGGAAGAGCGGATCAGGGAAACGTCAGACGAAGATGTTGACGATCTCGACATAGAGCCACTTGTGCGTCGACTGGAGGAGCTGGGATGCGTGGAGCCGTGAGAGGGGAACGCCCAGTGGCAGAGCAGTCCGACGGAGATTTTGATAGAAAGCTCGGCGTTTGTAGATGTAACAGCGTCGTAGGGTATGCAACAGCATTAATCTCATGCACATCATGAATACATTAACGTACTCCACCCCCAAGTCGCGCACACCCCCAAGTCGCGCACTTTTGACCGTGAACCGATAGGAAACATCAATTACACCACCACAACAACCGCAATACACTGAAACTATTTTAAATCATGTACATCAGATGTTTCTCCGTCTCCCTGACACGTGCGCGCATTGTGCCCGGGCTTTCCGCACTTACCACAACGCCGTGGAGCCGTCCCTGTTCGAGCCCGCCGACCACCATTTTCCCGCGTTTCACGCTCTACCTGTTCCTGCACCTCTCTCTGGGCTAATATATCATGTGCATCTCCTACAGTAAGTAATCCTCCAAGACGCACATGTGTCTTTTTGGCCCTTCGGCGCTTGCTCAGTGCCTCATTTGCCTTCTGTAAGGTGCCTATCTCAGCCGTCATTAGGGCCACCGAGTGCGCCAATGCCTGCGTCCCTTTCGCAAGCTGGTCGACAGCAGTGAGAATTGATGTTGGCGAGCTTCCCTGGTGATGGGCAATCCGATCTTTGATGTACTCGCATTGTGAGACAGTCTCTGTTGGGTTCCGTGGCGTCTGGGAGAACCAAGGATCGGCAGCGGCGGAAGGGGGACCAGTTGGTGTTGGCATCCGTGACTTGACATCCAGCTTGGATATCACTGACTCGGGGTCAGAAGGTACTAGACCTGCACCTCTGAACCCCCCTTTGTTATTGCTCTCGGTCATGGCGGCAAAGTGGGCGGCTTTGAAGGCGAGGAAGAACTCGACCTTGGTGATGTGGTTGATATGCGCTCTGACGAAGTGCTCGATTTGCCGACCGTACGCCGTTTTTAGGGCACTGTAACACCCAACGTCGAGTGGCTGGGTTATATGGGATGAGTGAGCCGGCAGGCTGATGGTGACAATGTTGTTCTGCTTGCAAAAGGCTTCGAATTCGGCCGACAGGTGACTCTCATGCCCATCAAGCACAATCATCCGATACACCCCCTTCGTACGAGACTTTGTGTGCTTATCGAAATGTTTGATCCATTCTAGGCCGGTCTCATTGTCGGTCCACCCATTGGAAGTTGGCTTGATAGCCCAGTCGAGTGGGAGCTCGCCCTCGGTATACCAGTTGGCGAGGTGGTAAGTGCCTTGAACAATGAGAAACGGTGGGAGGCACCACCCTTCGCCGTTGATGCACTCAATCGCCGTCGCCCATTTCCGATTGCCAGGCTGAACTGCCTTGCCTCTTCCACGTCAATCGGCGCGCGTCACTACCATAGCTGCGCAGATGACGCCCATCATGAAGCCGGTCTCGTCGAAGTTGTAGAAGTCACAGTCGTGGATGCCGTACTTCGCCCTCATGTTGTGTACAAGCTTAAACCACGCGCCAATAAGTTCTGGGTCTTCGCAGAGGGCTCTCTGAAAGTTGTATACACGATTGAAACACGTCTTGAGTTCTGGTTGTTGCTTGACGAATTTCTCGGCCCAGTGCTTGCCGACCCGTCCCCCGTCGCGTTGGGCGAGCAGCAAATTAGCCATATCTTCAACACCAGCACGTCGGGGTGCAAATCCTCGCGTATCTAGGTCCAATATATACCGAACAACCGCCTCCTCTTCAATTGCTGTCAATCGGTGAGCTGCAGGTCGTGATTCGGGCTTCGGCGTCTTCCCGTTCATCCTGTCGCGCAAGGTCGCTTCGGGTACATTGTAGTTTTGGGCAGCGCGTCGCCGACTGAAAGTCTTATCTCGTTGTATTGCCTGAATAGCAAGATTGATTCTACTCTCTTTGGATTGCGATGCCATTTTTTGCTATTAAGTTATTCCAAGTTGGGGTTGGGAGGTCGTAGCACGGTCAAAAGTGCGCGACTTGGGGGTGTGCGCGACTTGGGGGTGGAGTACGTTATTCATTTCTTCTCATTTACCAAATGTAAAACACAGCTGGGTTTGCTTCGCAAGCAAGCCCTAAAAGAAAAATAAAGAAAAGGAAAAGTAGTGCAAAAGATAATGGACGTACCGCGGATCGAACGCGGGACCGTCTGTATTCAAGAAATTTTCTTGCAAAACAGAAATCATACCACTAGACCATACGCCCATAGCAATGGTTACCATGCCTAACAAAACACAACACTAAGAGTGGCCAGCAATGCTGTCCTTGAAACGACAGGAGTGACCGTGCCCGCTGCGCGCGGGCACGCCAAAGGAGCCTGGAGGAACTTGCCGGTTGCAGGTAGGCCCCATAGCGGAGTTAACGATGTAATTGTATATTTTTTTTCCATTTCATCATGGTTATTTACGAATGCTGGGAAAGTAAAGAAAGGTGGTTTCTCCAGTCAGACTAGCGTCTAATCGTACAGTCGCGCCCTCTTTTTTCCTGCTGTAGACCTCTTGCTTCTGATCGGCTCGGGAGAGGTTTGCTTTTTTCTCTTTTTTGTTGGGGTGGTGTCAACCGGAGCGCGTTGATCTTCCAACAACTGCTCTGTGTCTGAACCGTCGTTGGTGTGATCGGTATCTTCTTTGTGGTTAGCCTAGTTGGTGAGCTGGAAGGAAGTCATACCTGAGCTTGAAATTGCAAGCACTGGCTCGGCGTTGGTTGTGGTCGAGTTCGGTGGTGCTTCAAGGACATGTTCCGTATGAAAGACGGCCTCCACACGCTGCTCCTGACGGGTGCCAGCGGCAACGCGGCCGCGCTCATTGGCGGGGTGACGCTGCACTCGGCGACGAACATTGGGTTCGAGGGCAAGAACGAGGTGGCAAGGAATATATCGGAAGAAGAAAAGCTGCGTTGGAAAAACATGGTCATGTTGATCGTCGACGAGATTAGCCAGGTGGGCGGTCTCACGCTCGCGGCGGTAGACAGCCGTCTGCGGCAGTACAGGGACGACCAGCATCGCCCGTTTGGCGGGATCCCAATGGTCCTGTTCTTCGGCGACTTCTTCCAGTTCGACCCCGTTCTGCAGACCAGCCTCCTCTTGCCAATGCCTAGGGACCGCGGCGGACAGAGACCAGAGAGCGCTGCAAGGCACCTAGCTGCGCATAAGCTGTTCCTCCAGTTCACCACCGTTGTCATCCTCCGCGAACAGGTCCGTGCGGCCGGCTGTCCAAGGCTGCGGGGGTTTCTCCGGCGCCTGCGCAACGGCGATCAGACCGAGCTAGACTTCCAGCGGCTATGCCACCGCGTCTATACACCGTCGTGCAAGTCCTCCTTCGTAGATGGTTTGAGAGCCATTACGCCTCTGAACCAAGACCGGTGGGACCTGAACATGGCCGCCGTTGTCCAGTGGGCTCGTGCCCACGGCAGACACATCTCCATCTTTGTGGCCAAGCATGACACCGATTCGGGGAAGCGACTAAGTGTGGAAGAGCTGTGCCGCGTGCTTCGCTACGGAGACGATTCCCAGCTGCCAACCCCGGGCCTGTTCTTCTACGCTCAAGGGATGCCGGTGGTGGTGACTCGGAACCAGTTTGTCGGGCTAAAGGTGGTCAACGGCGCACCTTTCAAGGCCGTCGACATCTTTCCCGACCTTGCTGCCGGCACCATTGCCCTCGCCAGTGACGTGACTCTTCATCTTGGACCGCCGGTGGCCGTCCTCCTTCAGTCAGACGATAGCGCGGACCTCGCCATCCCCGGGCTCCCCAACGGCACCATTTTGATCAAGAGCAAGACGGCCGCCATCCCGAGCCAAATGCGGGGCAAGGGAGCCAGATGGAGGGGCAAGGCGGGTTTCAGGTGGGTTACCCACAGAACCGGGCCTCTCTGCACGCCGGCCTTCGCCATGACGGATCAGAAGAGCCAGGGCAAGCAGTTCTCGGACGTGCTCGTTAACCTCAAAGGCGTCCACTCCAGTGGTACGGCGACTCGACCCAGCTTCATGAGCTTGTACGTGCAGCTGTCGAGGGCGCAGAGTTGGGACGGGCTGCATCTGTTTCGGAAACCGGCGCGCGGCGACTTTATCGAGCCCAAGAATGTGCTTGATAAAGACATGAGAGACGCCATCGTCAAGCTGGAACGACGGGGCGAGGAGACCAGACGGCGGTTCGAGCAAGACCACAGGCACGAGTCGTGGTTTCAAGAATGGGATGCAATGGCTGAATCTGGCCAGGGTACTGAAACCGATGACGTAGAGGATGCATTGCTCTGGGGAGACCCTGGGGTTTCCGAGCCCGGATCGTAGCACAGCTCTCCACCGCTGCTCTGTTCCAGGGCTCTTTTCCAGCAGAATAAGCTGCTTCAATTAATATTTTCCTGCTCACCTTGTTGCCGTGTTGCCCTGCAATCTGCGTGGTCGTCGGTGAAGCTACCCGGTGAAGCTACCCGGGGGTACGCCATCTTATTGGCCCTTCTGAACCGGAGCTGGCCCCACAGCTGAATTTGGGGCCGGCACGGGCTGCAAGCCATGACTAACAGACCGTCCGTGCACCACCACTGCCAAGCCCAACTTCGAGACGCTCATCGTCAGAGGTAAGTTCCTCCAGCCAAAACAAGATGGCTCTCCTTCCATAATCTTTAGGATAATGACAGTAGAAACTTTACAGTATACAGGGGAAAACGACACGGCTTTTGATGTGGGGATTTGGTCCGTGCTTGAGCAGGCCATGGTTTTTCTCGGAAAAGGAACCTTTCGGAAGTACTCGTTCCTCGTACGTTCCTCCAGGCAAAGGAACCTTTCGGAAGTACTCGTTCCTCGTACGTTCCTCCAGGCAAAAGGAACCTTTCGGAAGTACTCGTTCCTCGTACGTTCCTCCAGGCAAAAGGAACCTTTCGGAAGTACTCGTTCCTCGTACGTTCCTCCAGGCAAAAGGAACCTTTCGGAAGTACTCGTTCCTCGTACGTTCCTCCAGGCATAATAGTGAACACAATTCTAGTTGTGAGATGTGTATTGTCTGACCCGATAGGTAGGTAGGTATCTATGTCATGTTGGCTGCCCATGGTATTGCTATGGGGCTATCTGGGGGGATAGTTGGGCCTTGCTCCGCTCATTGGAGGAGCCTTTTATCTGCAATGCTAGAAGCTTTCATGGTATCATGAACATTTACGATACGTTTTATAACGGAAGACTACGTAAATGTGATTTTGCCATCAGAAACTTATATTGCTAAAATTCAGACTTCAAAGTAATCGTAGCGTAGTGCTCTAGAATCCGGATTTTGCAGGTGGTGGCGTATATAATAAATAATACACAGTTCCGGCAGATTCCCCCCCGAGAGGGTTTCCATTCATTGGAAGCTTCCAATCCCCATTGTGCCGTTATTGAGTGCGGTTTTGCCGCTATTGTCTGGAGCATTGGCATCCTCACCCCTTTCGAGAAGCGCCTCAGAACCGACTCGATGCCTTCCATTTGCTGCGTGGCGGAGTACGCCACTCATCGCCTAGCCGAAGCGTTCTGGTTGCTCAAGACCTTCAGTTAGGTACTCGAGACGACCCCTTGGCCTAAGTCAACCCCGTGGTTCAGGCCTTTGGCTGGAAAACGCTTAGCTTCTAGGGTTGTCGTCAACGGGACCTGTGACACCCATCTCGACGACCGTCACCATGTTAGATTTGTTTTATTTTAACCCTGGCATCAGAATCTGGTCATCAGACTGAAGGGCAGGGGAGCATCTCAGCTCCTAGATATCTACATCCCAGCCAAAAATTACATCAAGCCAACGAAATAATCCCAGTACTGACACAGCGCAGTGACGTTCCAGCCACGCATCTCGCTGTTCAGCGCATCAGTGTCAAGAATCCATGACAGATACTTGCTCTCCCAGCCCCCGAGCCTCCCCCGCCGCGAGCACTCTGCACGAGCCTTGCACAGCTCCCAGTACGCGGGGTACCACCCAGCCTGTTCCCAGCCCAGGATCGATACCACTCGCGGCTTTGGCCCGGCCGAGATGATGATGTTTCGTGGGTGCAGGCTTCCGTGCGTGAACACGACAGGGACATCATCTGGGAACAGATGGTGCGGTGTGTAGCGGAGCTGTCCATCACCAGCGCCTGCATGTCGGTTCCGGGAAACGGTGACCGCCATCGCAACAAAGTAGTCGTGGAATGCCGTGGCGGTCGGGAACGGACCGGCAGGCGGCGCACCAGCCAGCTCGCAGCGATGAAACACCTCATCCTGCAGCGGCCCATTATCAACGCTCCCTACAACACCAAGTCAGCATCCACACCACAAACCACACCCACAGATCAAGCCGCAAGAAGCAAACTCACCAACAAACCCCACCCCCCCCAACCTCAACCGCCTCCACTCCGCCACCACCTCCCTCAACTGAGTACACACCCCCTCCCTCTCGACCTCGCTCAACCCCGCCCACCTATCCTCCAACACCTCCCCCTCCGGCAAATCCATATACACAAACCGCTCCCCGGTCTCCACATCCCTCCGCCACCCAAACACCTCCGGCACGGGCACCCGCCCCGCCGGCACCCCCAAATCCAACAACGTCCTTCTCGCCAAACTCATCGCCTTCCCCTCCGCCGCGCTCACCCCCACCCCCCCTCCCGAGCCCCCATACGGCGCGTACCCGTCCCCCGCGACCCGCTCCGGACCGTACTTCACCAGCAACCCCAGCTCGGGGAACGGCACCAACTTCGCACCGGCCTGCGCATCGTCCTGTGCGTCAGCGGAGACGAGGCCCAGGCGGAGGGCCTGCTCGCGCACGCGGGCGGGGGTGGGGAGTTCGGGGTAGGTGCCGGCGGGGGTGAAGCGCGAGAAGAAGGAGGAGTGGGCGAAGATGACGTTGGGGCCGGGGGGGAAGAGCGGGGTGATGGGGAGGAGGGGGAGGGTGGTGGCGGGGGATGAGGGGGATGGTTGGGGGCCGTGGTGAGATGGGGCTGGTGCCAATGCCGATGCCGAGGCGGGGGTCTGGGTTGTTGTGGTTTGGTGTGTGTAGTGGTTGTTGTCGTCTGCTGCTGCTGCGGGAGATGTGGTGATGTTTAGGGTGAGGTTGGCGAGGGAGTCGTAGAGGGTTTGGAAGGGGTCGTGGTGGAGGGTCAGGTCATGGTCGTGGCGGGAGTGGGGTTGGATTCCCGGATGGGTGTTGGTGCTGAAGGAGAGCATGGTCATCGATGTGCTCGGTTGATGTTGATGGAGTGCAGAGAGTCAAGTT